TTAATGATGTCAATTCAAACTTGCAAATTAAGCTAAAAGTTATGGTAGTAAATTAATTTTTTTGGCTTCGATGCGAAGCTGAGAAGGTATTAATTTTACCATGATGTGTTTTTTTTTTTTTTATGTCGCCACTTTTCTCAGCTTTTACTGGACCGATTTCTTTCATCAATACGTCAAAAGATCACAAATCGTATCTAGTTGAAGACATTACCCTTTAAAATTGAAAAATTTTCCCTCATTCCCCGCTAATGAGAGAAATCTCCAAAAAAAATTACAAATTTAAAAATCGGTAAATTTTGTCACTTTTTTTCTTAAAACTTCCATAACTTGTTAAATTTAACACTTAACCTGCTCACTGGGGGCGTTTGAAAATGGCAACTTTTTTACAAAAACTAACTTTTTCAACTTAATTTTTGAAAATGTTCCGGAAATACTGCGTCCTTTAAACATATGTCAAATTAAAGCTTATTTTATGTACTATAAAATGAAAAAAAAAAATTTGTCCCGACTTTTTATCTTCTGTATGCAAACGGTTACCGTATTCAAAAATATGCTATTTTTGTATTAAAATTCTGAGTTTTGTATTTTATTTTATTTAAAAATATCTTATTAGGGGAATACACTGAATTTCATGAATATTATATCATTTAATTGACATAGAATAAAGTTCATAGACAAGATATTAAACTTATTAAATTTTTTACTTTTTTAAAGTCGAAAAAGTAATTTTTAAATTTGAGTTGGCTTAAATAACCAATTTTATCAAGCGACGAGAGCAACGAACAGTTGTAGAATCGGTAACACTTGTGTCTTTCACGCTAAGGGTACAAGGTTCATATCCGTCTGTACCAATTAATATTTTACATTTTTTTTGAGATAGAATAGAATTTTTAAATCATTTGATATTTATCTCATTTAGATTCAATAACTTCAATAAATATAAAGGATCCTATCACTATAGTCTCCCCTCATGAGAAGAAATTTATATTCATGTTAATATTATTTTACTATGTGGTTCCTTTTGTGGCTACGATTCATTTTGCCAACCCTCACTAGACCTACTTTTTTCAACGATACGTCAAATGATTACAATTCGTATTTAGTATAAGTTATTACTCTTAAAAATCGAAAAAATATTCTTTATTCAAATAAAAAGTAGCTTAACCAGCTTTTTCCATACAAACAATTAAAATCATTAATTTCTAATATTCTTAAAGTATTTATTTTCGAATTAGATTTGATATGATAAAAGTATTCAACTACAATAGTAAATAATTTTACTTTGTAATTTATTAATTTTTTATCTCTATTTGTGTGTTCAACTACCAGTCTATAATATTCAAAATTTTTTTGTAATATGTTGCTATATAAATCATAAATTCCTAAAAAAAAAGATTCTTAGTTTTACCTGAATTTAATGATGGATTTTTACAATTATAATAAAATTTTTAATACGCTCAATTGAGTAAATTTTTTTTTTAACAACTTTGTTTTGATTGATTCTTTTAGTTAAAGTAAATCATTAAAATTAATTAAGTTCTAAATATTTCCATTGTAGAATCTTTTTACACACCAAAAGTTAATTAGAAATGACTACTATGATTTCTATTTAAGTGATCTATTACGATAAAAATGTAAAATAAATCGAACTTTTCTGATAAATGGACTGTAAATAGTAATTATAAAATTTCCTAATTGCATATTAATCTTAACAATTTCATTTTTTAGCTTTGATGCGAAGCGAAGAAGGTATTAATTTTACTATGATGTGTTTTTTTTTTTATTTTTTTATTTTTTTTTTTGTGTCTGTGAACGCTCAATCTCAGCTCTCGCTGGACCGATTTTGATGAACAATATGTCAAAAGATCACAAATCGTATCTAGTCGAAGACATTACCCTCAAAAATTGAAAAAAATTCCCTCGTTCCCCGTAAACGGGGGAAATCCCCCAAAAAATTACAAATTTAAAAATCGCTAATTTTCGATATTTTTTCAATTTTTTTTACTTAAAATTGCCATAACTTTTTNAAACACTATCTACAGATTTGCATCGAAGCGTTTCTTATGATAGTGATTTTAATCACTGTCAGATATCATCTATACTTATCTCATCTATGCCACGTCTATACTGTGCCTCGACCCCACTGTGCTACCGTTTTTTACATNTGCTCACAGGGGGGATTTAAAATAGCAACTTTTTTACAAAAACTAACTTTTTCAACTTAATTTTTGAAAATGTTCCGGAAATACTGCGTCCTTCAAACATATATCAAATTAAAGCTTATTTTATGTACTATTAAATGAAAAAATAAAATTTGTCCCGACACTTTTTCTTCTGCATGTAAACGTCTGCCGTAGTTAAAAAAACGCTATTTTTGTGTTAAAATTTTCGATTTTTAATTTTCAACTTAAAAATGCTATAACTTTTTGAAAAATGTATATATCAGCACAATTTTTTTTTTCTAAATACACTATAAGTACATCTTTCATTTGACATACTTTTTATTAAAATTGAACAATTTCCCCTTATATAGGGGGCGTTCAAAACTTAAAATATTGTAAAAAAAATAGATCTTTTTCAACTGAACTTTTGAAAATGTTCCGGAAATACTGCGTCCTTTAAACATATATCAAATTAAAGCTTTTTTTATGTACTATAAAATGAAAAAAAAAAATTTGTCCCGACGACCTATCTTCTATACGCAAATGGCTACCATATTCAAAAATATGCTATTTTTGTATGAAAATTATGGGTTTTGTATTTTATTTTAATAGAAGTTGATGTTGCTTTTGCAATTATCCATCAATTTTTTAAAATTAAACACTATCTACAGATTTGCATCGAAGTGTTTCTTATGATAGTGATTTTAATCACTGTCAGATTAAATCTATACTGAACCCAACTATGCAATGTCTCCACTATGCCGCGACCCCACTGTGCTACCGTTTTTCTATTTAATAATGTCAATTTCAAACTTACAAGTTGAGCTAAAATTTATGGTAATAACTTAATTTTTTTTTTATTAAAACTTTCACTTTGAAGGACAAAAAAAAGAAGGTTCATAATGATTTCTTTTAACATATTAAAAATCAAAATCAATAATAATTTGAAAACAATTAATTTTAAAAATTATATAATATATAATTAAAAGAAGTACTAATTTGGGTATAATTAAAGAAATAGAAGTTGATGTAGCTTTTGTCCATAAATTTTTTAGAATTTTTTAAACACTATCTACAGATTTGCATCGAAGCGTTTCTTATGATAGTGATTTTAATCACTGTCAGAATAAATATATACTGGACCTAACTATGCAACGTCCCCACTATGTACCCCACTGTGCTGGGTTTTTTTATTTAAAACTGCCATAACTTTTTAATAATGACTAAATCAATATAATATTTTTTTCATAGATGCATGATGTCTTTACCTATCATTTGGTATATTTTTTTTATAAATTTGAACCTTTACCTACCCACAGGGGAGATTTAAAATGACAACTTTTTCAACTTAACTTTTGAAAGTGTTCTGGAAAATCTGACACTTTTATATATATCATAAATTAAAGCTAATGTAATTACTTATTATGGAAAAAAAAAATTTCGGACTTTATTTTGCCTTCACGGTGAAAATAGTTACCACCGAAAGCTAATTTTGTATGAAAATTCTCGATTTTATATTTTACATTTTTAATTTTATAATGCTATAACTTATTGAAAAGTGTATGAATCAATATAATTTTTTTATGAGAAATAATATTTACATCTTTCTTTCATTTGATATACTTTTTTTTAATATAACACCAATTCCCTTTATATATTTATATATTATATATATTACACTTATAAATCATAAAACTTCTAATAAGGATATAAATAAGGAAATAGGAGATTATATAGCTTTTGGAATAATCCACCAATTTTTCAAAATCACACACTATCTACAGATTTAAATTGAAGCGTTTTTTATGATAGTGATTTTATTCATTGTCAGATATCATTATACTTGGCCCAACTATGCCACATTTCTACTGTGCCGCAACCCCACTATGTTGGGTTTTTTAAATTTTGTTTCTTATAAAACAATAAGAGTTTCAAATTTTATATTAATTAATGAATTATCTTATACTTATGAATATGTTACAGCTTTTATAAATTGTATTTTTTAGAATGTTTACAGATATATTCATGTCTTCATAAAGACAGTGGAGTAAATATGATTTCATATTGGGGGAGAAGGCATGTATAAAAGTATGAAATTCAATATTTTGGACCTTTTTTTTTGCTTATCACTTCAGGGTATAGTTCGTATTGGTGTATATTTATAATGCATATTCTGTGTTACATTTCTTTTCTATGTGTTAAAATGATTGTAAATCAATAAGTATTTATCTTGAAATTATTATGGACTTTTCAAAATTTTTTTTAAAAAAAGGGCTAAATAATTTGCTGGATCAAAATTTGATAAGGATGTCAAAACATGGTGGAATATTCTGTAAATGTTATTAATTGAAATGATATTTGATACAAGTACCTTATTTAATTTTGTACCTCTGATCTTACAAATTCAAAATGTAGCTTTATAAACGAATCACTAATAATAAAATACAAAAATGGCATAAATCAAATATTCAAAATAAATATTTGTATGCTACTATACTGCTGGTGTAGGATAAGTGAAACATATTAACAAAAACAATTTTATTCAATAATATTTTTGTTTTTAAACCATGTAATTTAAAGGTACCTTAACTAAAATTATAACTTCTATTTCCAAGAGTTTTATCGTTGCAATAATCAATACTATGAAAAAAATAAAAAATTTTTTTGGTTAATACGTCCTCTAACCCATAGTTGTTGTCTCTTCATAGCAACTCTATCAAAATTTATAAATTATAATTTATTGTTTAATTATTTATTGTAACTATTAAATTATATATTGATGATAGTATTATTAAAATAATAACATTTCAAATCATACATTTTATTATATTTTTGTAGAACCATATCACTTAATGATAATTGGATTAAATTAATTAATAATGTATCCAATTTATGCTTGAAATGTGAAAAAATTGTTTCTGTAATAGTAAATGCATCATCACCTGAAGGTTTAATTCCTATGGATGGTAATGTATAGTTTATTATTACTAGTTTTTAAAAATCTTATTATTTGTTATTTTTTCTATATATGAAAACAATTTTAGGGTTGTGTCAAAATAATGATCAAGTTAATTCACAAGTTGTACTTCTTTGTGCATGGCGAACAACAAAAGAAGCATCATTAATACTGGGTGATATAGTTGGTATAATTGCCTCAAAAACAACGAATTCAAAACTGGATGAGATATTAATCACAGATATTTTTTCATGTTTAACAATGTTGTTGTCTGAAACCAAACACCGTGGAGCATTTGAACAAATATTTGTTGCATATTCAAAAATTTGCTCGATAATGTGGAAGTAAGATATTATTTTAAGTAATGTAGTGTTCAAGTCTTGAAACATTAGACTTTACTAATTTAAGTTATTTTTTTATCAATATTTCATTTGGATAAACATTAATATTTTATAAATCCTGACTATCAATGAATATAAAACTATAAACTTTATTATATACATTTTTAAATATTAAAAATATTTATACTTAATTAAGTATTTACTCATATAATAATTATATTTTAATTCATTATTTTTGATTGTATTAGATCACCAATATTTCATAATATACCTTTTCAATATCTTGAAGATGTTTTAAAAGAAATAAAAAGTGGAACTGATGAAAAGTATTGTGCCACTAGAAGAAGTGCTGGAATGCCATTCATAGTACAGGTTATTAAGTACTTTAATAAAGATAAATAACAGATTTAATAAGAAAAACCTTTTACAACCAGAAAAGTTAGATTTAAGATTTTCCTAAAACTAATTAATCGATTGAATAAATATTTCATGGTTCATTTTTAAGACAAAAATATTTTTCTATTTTTAGATGAATGATTTTAGTATTTTAGTTCTAGATACAACAACTTTTAAATATTTTAATAATAATACTAATTATAGTTATAATAATAACTTAAAATTAAATAACATAAATGTTATTATTTAAAATTTTGTTCACTTATGTATTTATTAGTGATGAGAATTATCGAATAGTAACTTTCAAATTATTCGATAGTCTATTTGAATAGTTTTTAAAACTACTCGAGAGTTTATGTTAAAAATAAATTATTTGGTTGTATAAACACAATTCGAATAGTAATTCTATAGTTTAAAATATTTGAAAATGCCAATCACTAATTTTTACTAATATTAATTGTATAACAATTTATTTTAAGTATTCGTTAATTATCTTTTTATTATAATCAAGTGTACTTAATAAAAATTTTAGGTAGAATTAATCAATATTTTTTAAAACCATTCAGTAGTTTTCGATAGTTTTAAAAAGCTATTGAATACTATTTGATAGTTTAAAATATTCGAAAATGCCCATCACTAGTATTTATAAACTATTTTATTTAAATTTTAGGCTCTTATTTGTTCAAACCACGATAAACATAGAGTTGTTAGCTTAACATTAGATGCATTGATAAGTATGTGTGAAGTTGAAAATGAAACAGGAAAATCAAAGATTGAATTAGTTCATGCATTAAATGTCTTAAGAGCATTGTTCCGTTGTTCTAACTTAGGAGAATTTGTTGATCCTTTTATATCAAGAGCTATTAATATTTCAATTATCTTATTCAATTCGTCTTCTTGGCCTGTAAGTAGTTTACACTATTGAATAATTTATGTAAATATATTCTATACAAAATTAATATGATTCTATTAAATAAACGGTCAGACTGTCCTAGTGGGTAAAACCATATGTTTCTGCACACGGTGTCCTGGGTTCAATCCCCAGAAAGTCAACGAGATTTTTCTTGTGATATTCTTATTGATAGTATCTGGTCTCTGATGCAAACCAACCATAATAATTGTTCTGTCCATTATACGGTTTTGCCCACTAGGTTTTAATTAGCCATCAATATTTAATTTTAAATAAAATTTTAAATGGTTGTCCAAATTATGCTTTTTACTTTAAAATTTAAATCTTATAATTTTAGGTGCGAAATTCGTCCACACTTTTATTGAGTGCCCTGATAAATCGTGTATTTGGTGTTCCTAGATCTTCCACTGAAGTTTCTTGGAAAAATTGTATGACAGGTCGATTGTTTTTTGAGCGGTATCCTGATTTATACTTTACATTTTTAAAAGAATTTAAGAAATTTTCACCATCTGATTTAAGACCTTCATTATATCCTACTTTATTAATACTAGCAAGATTATTGCCAACATCAAACGAAAATCCAGATTGTGTTTTTCAAGTAATTGTTAAAAATTTTTTCTTTAAAGTAAATTTAATTTTTATCGTTATAAATAATAATGTTTGATTTTTAGTTATCTGTTTATATTCCTTACATTTTTAAATGTGCTCAAAGTCCAGTTATGAAAACAAGAATGTTGGCAGCTACATCTATTGTACCACAAATAACACTCAACAAATTTGTGGAATATATTTCTACAATTATTAATACATTGATTAATAGTAAATTAAATGAAAACTTTGTTCATGGATTGTTTTTACAAGTAATCTCAATATTGATATCATATAAACTTATAAAATATATTTAATAATTTAATAATATTATTTTAGATTTTGAGTTTAGTGAAAAAGTTACCTGATCTTCTTCAAGAAGATATTAATAAATTACTAATTATATGCGAGTTATTTTTATCAAAATATTATATCTTTAATCATTACTCTTATGTTATTAAAGAAGTTCTTGTGATGTGCATCACATATACATGGATTCAATTGGATAACTTACATTACTCATGTGTTAATGATATTTATAATTACACCTTAAAATCTATAGTAACTGTTTTTCATTCAAAAGTTATTGGGCGTTCAAAATATTTAGAAAGTTCAATATTATTTTTGTTTTCAATTTGTGTGAAAGCTCAGTTAGATTTTTCTGAAGTTATAATAAAATTAATGACAAATAAAGTATGTTATGAAAAAATGTATAAAATATTAGAAGTTATATTGGTACCAAGTTCAAATGAAGTTTGTGATATATTAAAAGAAATTAAAAAACATAAAAATTGGAATGAAAAAATTTTATTTGATCAATTTGCAGCAAATAATAGTTTTGCTGATTTATTATGTAAACAATGCATTGAAGTTGATAATTTAATTCATATTAAGTATACGGTTTTATCTAACTACTCTGTAGCATCTTGTTTATATTTTACAAAGTATGAATCTGTTACTAATTTCATGTCAAGAGCATATGATTTTCGAAGAGATGATGAGCTTGCTCAAGCATTGTTTTGCATTAACAATCAAATAAGAGTCAATGTAACATCCCTATTTTATAAATATTCTTTTTCAATATTAATTGTAAATCTAAAGTGTATTATTGATTTATTTTTAGAAAATTAAAAAGTCTTGCGAGTTTAAGAAACTAATTGAGTTACTTGAGTATGTATTTTTGAGCAAAAAATCTGATAATTGCAAATGTGCTTCAATTGATATTATGGTAGATAATTATGATTTCTTTGTTAATGAATCTCAGTCAAATATTAAAATATGTAAGTAATTGCGTACAATTTTTTTAGAAATACATTATCTAAAATTACACTTCAATTTGACATTGTTTTATTATAATAATTTTTTTTTATTGAGCTAAAGTTTGAACAGTTAGGCTATTAGTTTATATTAACATACTATAGTTTTTTAAGTTGAGATATTTTACAAATTTACAACAAGTTGTTTTAATTAATATGATTTTGTATTCATTTAGATAAGGTGATAAATAGCATTCTTATAAGAATGATTAACCAAACCATACCTAACCCTAGACAACTGATTAGATGGTTCAAAAATTAATTTGTTTCTTTATAGTTCATATTTATTATTTGGTTTAAAAATGTTTGAATGTGTAGGGTTGTTGAGTATCATCTTCTTTAAAAATTATGTAATGTTAAATTGCTTTGAACTGACCTATTTTAAATTTATTTAGAATCAATTCTTCTGTTCTAAAAAAAAAAAAAATGTTAAGTTTGCCCTTTTTCATAAAAGAAACTTTATTATTGTATGATTTTAAATTATTTTTTGAAATATCATTTTATCTTCCAGTAAAATTAGTTGATTAATGTATAATTTTTTGCATATTATTGTGAAGTACTCAAATTGTGGACCATGTTAATACGCTATTCTGAAGATGATAGTGAGGAAGTAAGAGATTGTGTATGGCGTTTGGTTGACAAAACAGTAATTGGTTCAAAAGCATTTGAATTGCTCTTTGAGAAGTTTTCTTGTCTGTTTAACAAACACGCAACCTCAGTTCTTGTATCTTTAATATGTTGGGCATACATAGATATTGAATTACCTCAAGATCGCTATACAGTAAAATAAATTAATGATTTTTAGTGAAATTTAAATAGCTCAATTGAGGATTTTTATTTATTAAGTTATTTAAGCTTCACTGCTTTGTTGTTGTAAAATTAAAGATCATAGTTTAATGAGTATTTTTATTTTAGGAACAGGCATTTGATGGCGAAGATACTTGTAAGTACAAAGAACACAGTGTACGCAAAAATTTAGCAATTGGTACAGTCAATAAATTAACAAATAATCAAAATGAGTTTATGAATTTAAAAATAAATGAAGAAATTAAAGAATGGATGTTTGAAACTTGGACTAACAATACAGAATTCCATCAAGCTATAATTAAATTTTCAACAATTAAAGACCTTATTAATTATGCCAAAGATTTTAATTCTAATGTTAATAACTTTTTGGAAATTAAATGTATTTTTCAATTGACTAACAGAAAAAACTGTTTATAGTTGGTGAAATTATTATTTTATTATGTATAAGTATATGTCATGTATTGAATAATTATTTATATTTAATAAAATTGTTTTCCATTAGTTAAATTTTTTTTTGGCAAGTATTAAATATTTTCTGTAATACTTTTAATTAAAAAACCTTGTTGAGAATGGCTAGATTCATGTCCATATTTTTCTGCTGTAATCTAGTTATAAATGATTACAAATATAAGATTAAAAAGACTTAGCATTCTTAATTATTTTACAAAAATCGTTATCGGTGAATAATTTTATGTGTTTATTTTGAAAAATTTTTCTAGCCTTGAATTAATCATAGATAGTTTATATGAAGTTTTTTCATATAATGTAAGTAATAATTACATATTAAATTAAGTAAAAATTTAACATATCGTTTAAGTAAAAATGGTGATGGGCGATCTGAATTGATATTTTAATAGATTCTCGTAGAGATAGATTTTAATACAAAACGATTCAGTTTTACGAATATTGTACAGTTGATATTGATTAAATTAAATTTAAATGTATTTTATACAATTTTATGTTTTGTATATAACTTGTGATACATTTATAAAAGTATACATTAAAATATTAAACTATTTAAAAGTTGAAGGAAAAAAAATGCCTCCATATAATAAAATTATCATTTTTCAAATATTTTAGCCAAATATAAAATTTTTCGATTATTTATATAGATTTTCTGAAAACTTGACTTTTTTGACTCGATTTTTTTTTTTATTGATTTTCTGTTTTGAATTATATGATTTAAATCTATTCAAAATTCAACACTAAAAATAATAACATGAAATATTTGACCAAAAGTAATAATCGTGCAGTATGGTAACGCGGCTGCACTGTGGTGTCGTTGATTTTTTACCAACCACTTGTTTGCAGCCTACAAGCTTGCTATAACCTGTTCCACAGCTGTATTGCTAGTGGCGCTGTGCGCGTGTCGCTCTTCCGTCTCTTGTGGAACCAAAACATAACGGGTTCGTGCAACGTTTGGTCATATTGATGAAACCGTTTAATCGCCTGTGCTATCACTATTATTTTCTAAAAAAATAATTAGTAACTATTATTATTGTCGAGGCTAGTGATTTATCAGAGTGTCAAATATGGATTGTGTTTCGTTTAAATCCCACATAGGGACTGTTTTTGTGTTGGTTGTTTAAATTTAAATTATTTTAGGTATGAAGTTCCTCAGTGTGGGGTCCAGGACACAAGACGGCATACATTTTTAAGTGGTGAGTCTTAGCAATATAAACATATATTTTAATTGTATTTAATATTACAGTATCAATAAACGTTGTTTTAAACATACATTAGAAGTTTCGCAAATATTTTGGTAAATTTTATTATGAATGTTTTATATTGAAATAATGTTTCTTTAGAGATAACGTAGAAATAATTCTTATTGTTGTCAATCTTACGTTTATAATGTGAGTTGGAAACTTTAAATATGTTTATTTTGTAATCACTTAGGTACCTCATTTAAGAAATAAAAAGTATTATCATGTCTTGTAGTATAATTTCTTTTAGCATAATTATTAGTTTTGAAAACTTGTTAACTGCATCATTTAATAATTTAAAAATTATTCAACATATTATTTAAATAATTTATTAAGTATCAAACTCTTATTGACGATTGTAAATAAGAATTTCAATTTTATAAAAAAACTGTTCTGTGCAAGAAAAACAATATTAATAATAACAAATTAGTTTATTATAAAACATTATTTTTCATCAACCTTTATACATATTAAATTATCTATGATACATTATTACTTTAAATTTAAAATTCACATTTTAATTTCATGATAGTTATTTTGCTACTAGCTTGTAGAACATTACTTTTGTTCTATTTTGAACCAGAAATTTAAATTTGATTAAATTCTGCTATAAAAAAAAAACAATAAGTTGGTTTATATTACTATGTTATTCAATTAAATGCTGTATATTTTATTTACACATCAATTACTTACATCTCATTAAAATGTATTAAAATATATCACTATTTAGATTAATAAATGACTTGTATGTATTTATAAGTTGTTTACTATATTGCTAGTTGAATTTTATTTTTATCAGTTATTTTCTGACTGTAAAACCTTATATTAATTAAACTTTTTAAATAATATATGATGTAAAAATAATTAACTTAATTTGAGTAACATAAGTCATTTACTGTTCAAAAAGTATATAGTTTTATTAAAAAAATTAAGTGTCATTTAAAATGTTACTATTCTGTTATAAATTTATTTATTTTTTGTTATATCAAAATTGTATTTGAAGTAAAAGTATTTAGGAATAGAAAAAAAAACTTAATTTTTTCATTGAAGTATTATAAAATTCTGTTATAAATTTCTAAATTTAACATAGTTAATTAAATTGTATTTAAACGTTTTATTGATAAAAAATTATGTTTTTTAAAAACATTGTTACATTAAAAAATAATTTTTCAATTTTTTTGGTTTAGAATCTTTCATCTAGGAACTGCTGACTTGTTAAATACTGCAAAAGGTAATGGGACTAAAAATCTTAACTTTTTGTTTTGTTTTTAGTATGCAATTGGGGATTTTAAATTTTATATGGAATTTTTACTATGTTCTTTATTCATTTTATTTAAAGGTGTTCAGTAAATAGATTTTATGTATACTTCATTAATTTTTCCAATTTTTAGGTAAAAATAGTTAATTTTCTTATAATATATTAATTAATATAATCATTTAAAATTTTTGTAGTATTACTTAATTTAAAGCTTTTGTGAGTTTTCTTTATTATTTAAACTAATATTATCTCTACAATTTGTTCATTATGAATAATTTTCCATTAAAGTAAAAAATTGCAATAAATTTATATAACTTTGTCACTTTTTTATTTTCATTGCTATAGCTATTTAAAAATTAACGAATCTTAACACAATTTATATCAGCAGTATTAAAGGAAATGAGATTTTTTTGGTGTTCTTTTTATATAAATTTAATTTAAAGCTTTAGTCCAGGAGAGGTTTGAATGAGGTAGATCGTCCGCATAGTCAATGTTATTCATAGTCATTCTTAAATCTATATCACCTTTTTAAATCGTCGTTTAAGAAGCAACAATTTATATATCATTTTTTCAACTTTTCAGGAGAGCAAAAAAAAAAAAAAACTGGTATATTTTATTTAGCGGCTGTTATGATTTTCATTTGATTGACAAATAACTATACTTCTAATTGTTTTTATTTAATAACATATTTATTATCCTCGAAATTTAAAACAAGGGGTTGTATAATGAGTGACGAAATTTACTATAAAATTAAAGAAAGGATAACGTCCCATTAACTTTATTTTTTAAAATAATTTGTAGCGAATTTAAATATATATAAAATTAACTGTAAAATTTTATATTTTTTTTATCTCGTTGAAATGTTTTATGATAATGATATTAATCACCGTCAGATTTCAATCTTTATTGAAGTCTACTATATATGCTGTTACATATAATATATAACCCAACTGTATTGGGCTTTTTCATTTAAGTCTTTGAATATTAGTGAAATACGAATATGACTTCTTTTTTATATGAGATATGAGTGAAATACTTGGTCTGATAAATAAACATCTCTTAAAACAGTTTAATGTGTTGTTAGATTTTCGTTATTAAAACGTTATCAAGATAACACCTATTGTTTTTTTGTAAATTAACATAGTTCCTATGTACATTTTGAATTCGGCTTCCCTTGTACTACTATATCTGTTTCCTATAAATAATTCACCTCAAATAACCTTTATGTTCAACTAGAGCTTAAGACGATCATTTCCTTTAACTGAACCCTCTACGTATTGGCCTTAGGCCAATAGTCATGGGAACCCTCAGAGAAGATTCTAAGTATAATATTAATGTTTTATACCTTTACTTCAGTTTAGTAGATACACTCAAACGGTTTTCGTACTCGTGAATATTAAAGAATTTAAACCGAAAACAGATAAAAGGTATCAAATCTCAGCTATTTATTTATATTTAACTTAATGTAAATAAAGTGTAATTTATATGGTTTAATTTTAATATTATTACATGTTGTTTATAAAAAAAGGTATGATTATTATTCCTTAGCGGTTATTGCAACAATATAACAATTAATTACAATAATTTTTTACAATACATTTTTGTTAGTGTGTATTCACGAGTAGGTAGTTAAACGCCATTAAGTGTGTCATTGTAAAAAAGCTATAGATATTTTTTCAGTATTAACGTGGACATGCTATAATAAATTCATTAAATAAAACATTTGAAATTAAATGTATAAATTTTTTATTTTAGTGTCGTATAAAGTTTTAAACGCTAGCCTGTTTATATGCAAGTTTTTGAATTATAATAAATGTTTCTAACTTGCATAGCTAATGTTTTTTATTATATTTAGAGCAAACCCCATTACTTATCATTAATACTATAATATGTACTTATACAGATTAGAGTCTTATGGATATCTCCAATTTAGTCTAAATTAGGCTTATAAAGCCATTAAAATCGTTAGTTGTATGCTAGTGTATGTGTTTGGTACAAGAACGTTACATAACACTCTTTAATGGCGTGATCGTAATGTAGAAAACTAGTTAAAACTTTGGGTTATAAATATGATTATATATCCAAATAACATAAAAGCTATTATTTGGAATTAAGCTTATTTTTTATTTTAAAGGTCCATTGTCGTAATTTTAGGGCGGATGTTAGTGTGTGGGATCTCTTTTCTCGGTGGTGATGCGATACGTATGTATTTGTAGTTGTTGTTGAAAAAGTATATACCAGGTGGATATAGTAAGAGATATACTTCTTCCAATGAATATTCGTAATTTCGAGAGGAATATGTTTAAAAAACAAATTATAAGCAAAAAGAGGTCATAGAAATAATCATAGAGGTAATAGTGTCCTAGTAAAATTTTTTTGTTATAAAATAAATGTAGAAATTGTTATTGACGTCACTGTTTCCCTTGTTAAAATTTTTTTTTTAATGAGAATTATTGTGAACATTTTTTTAGTGTAGCTCTTCTTAATAAGATTTTTAAAAAACGAAAAGTATTCATCTACATTATTTTGTTAGCTATACTAAAATTATGATGCATGTTGTACATAAACAAAGAGTATTAAAAAACCTCTTAACTAATACTATTTTGAATTATTTTATCGTAGAAAGATATTAAAACTATTAATAATTACCCCAAAAAAAGTTAAAAAAGAAATTTAATGTTAAATAATAAATGTTAGTGTGAAATTTTAATTTATTTTTTAATATAGGTTTTATTTTGATTCTATATTTGGATTATATGTTTTATTTTTTATGACATGATCGAATCTTTACATGTGCATCCCTCAACTTGATTTTATATTATTTATTCAAATGAGCTTACAGCTTTATAGTGAAAAGTACTTTGCACGGCCACGTATTATCGTTTGTTTTATTATTATTATGATTATTACGTGAGTGTTTATGCTGTGACGACGAATATTTGGCCGCTAAGAGAACGATAAAATGGTACAGAAAAGTTTCATGAATATTAAACCCCTTGAGGTCTGACTATAACGATACAGGTACGTGACGGGTGGCCCGTTTTTTCTCGCACGGAACTTATACGTAGCAGCCGCAGTTGAGTTGAGATTCTGGATATTTCAGTAGATTATCCATCCCACAACTTTCCTGGCCCGTATTCACATATCCATTATTGTACCAGAAAAACCCATCTTTTGTTGCTCTCTACTTCTATACCATCCTACCTTTTCTCATTACCATAAAGCTGTTACCGCCGTAAACGCAGACCCTAAACACGTCTTCATAATTAAATTTTGTGTTACCTTTTTGTTTTTAATAAACATGCTCATATATTGATCATTTTTTAAAACAATTAGTAGTAATTGTTTTTTTTTTTAATTAGGTCACATGATTGTGTTTTGCTGATGTATAAATAATATTTATTAGAGATCGATTTTCGAATTTTGTATTCGATAATATTGTACTAAAATATCGCGATACTATCGATATTGATATTATATTTCAATATCAAAATATATTCGATATCAATTTAGATGGACTTATCAAAAATAAAATTTTGCAGTTTATTTTAAATTTTACATAAACTAATTATATTTCTTTCAATGTTGCATTAATTCTGAATAATCTGTTTTGAACATCAACATTACGCTAATTCTTGATTAAATTTACTAGGAAGCCTGGACATCAACGTTAAGCTGTAATTAAATTATCAAAATATTATTTTCTTTTAATTTTAGTGATAGCTAATTTAATTTAATTAAAATAAAAGTAAGTCATGAAGTTTATTTAAAATGTACATACTGTAATCATAAAATATTGTGACTTAATTATTGTTTAATATTCAAATAGAAGTAATTTGAATAACTTTAAAATAGCTGTTTATTTGACTAAAGTGCTTAAAAAAAGTAAATGTTTTAGAAAAATAGTAAATTATTGGATATAGCATTGGATTTTTATCTTTTAATAATGACAATAAATTTAATTATTCTATACTGTGTGTATACCAAAGTAATTGTTTTAAACTAGTCAATAAAAAATGATCAAGTTTAATTCATTGGTTATTCAGTAATTTACACTTAACGCTTGAAGTGATATGGTATTATAAAAGTAATTTACTTTTATAAATTATTAAAATTATTAATATCATCTCATCTAAAAATTAACTGATACGTTAAGGTTTATAACGCAATCGACTGTATTCTAATACAAACAATATTGTAAAACGTGATGTTGGAAAATTCTCAAGATTTTATTGAAAATAAACAATTAAATTAGTCTTCAATCTTTAAATGAAAGATCTTTAGATGAAAATATCTAATCAAAATGTTATTAAATATTCAATTATTTTATGACAGATTAAAATATTGATTTTTTATTAGCTATCATTTAGTTTTGATCAATTATGTAGCATTTCTTCACTTAGAATATACCTTTTTTTTTTTTTTTAATTTTGAAATATATATTTCAGAAATAACCCATGCATATTAAAGAAATTTAAATGGATCCTGACCCATTGTGTGGCTTATCTGAATGTTCTTCGACGTCAGCTCGATCATCATGGAGTAGTTCAGGAGCGGAAAACAGTGAAGAAGAATGGCGAAATCAAGTTGACGAGTTACAATGGTATATAAGCTCATCTACTTCACCAAGAACAATAAAGCATATCAATGGGTGTGATGTCGTACGTAATTCTATTGGATGGCATGAGGTTAGCTATATATTTTCTATTTTTTTTTTTAATTTTCATCACTAAGATAAATACCTAAATTTTGGAAGTATAATTTTATTTATTTGGAAACAAACTGAAATATTGTAGCTTAGTATAAAGATAATTTAAAAGAAGTAAAAAAAACTCAACAAATAAATGGTATAATAGTAGATTTACGACTTAAGACTGAAGTCATAAAAAATATATGGTATATTGTATTTTTTACGGACTTTTTTGGTATAGGATTTTTCGATTTTGTTTTATATATCTTTGACAATATGCAATACTTGTGTTTTAAACAAAGAATGTGTGACATATAAAAGACTTGCACTATTTCGATATTCTCTAGAGATTATCTACGGACTACATAAGTTGTTCGATATTGCTGAAATAAAGGAAGAGTATATAAACGCAAACAAATAGTTTAAATAAACCCAGGATCTCTTGTTATATCTCTCTCATACATCGATGTGTTTTAAATTAAATTTGATTTGTTTGAATAACTTAGTATTTTTTTTTGTAAATCGGTGGTTTTACATCCAGGTTTGAATTGTTAATGAAAATGATGGAGAGAAAAAAAGGAAATCCAGAATTTTTATTGTGAGTACACAGAGAACTTGAAGTTCCTTAATAATGGTCCATTTTTTATATATTTCCTTTGTAGTGGAGGAGACATTAATCGTCTATGCATAAATATAGCCAGTATCGTGTAGACTGTGGTCAGTTGTTTTTTTTATGTGTGTGAAAATGTCGGTTTATTATTACGGATTCATTGAGGTGTTTTCCAGTTAATAGTAAAAGTAACACAAAATTAGCTTTTAATAATTATGTGTCACGATAAATAGATGTATTTTAAATAAAAATAGAATGAAAATCATACGTGGTATAAACATTTCTTTTTTTATTTATATAATTATTTTGAAATTAATAAAATACTAATAATTAGAACTGATATATATATATATATATATACATATATTTACAAAACTAAATCGAGTACAACGTAAAAGTACATATTTATTAGAAATGTTGCAGTATTGATCTATCTGTCATTGAATGACAATATATGACAATTAACTATTAAAAAGGAACCTGGTGTATAATGTTATTTATACGACTAACTTTGAAAAACATGTTGTACACAATATAATTAATCAATTTTTATAAAACTATGAACATATATTTATTAAACTTCAAAAAATTATATAAAAGTTATTTTTTTTCGACACTAAAAATTTTAATTTTAGTTATAATAATTTTGCTTTATTGATGGATGGATTGAATGTAAACATTGAAGTATTGGAAGCAGAGGGCTATGAATTTAAAAATTTTGTTAAGTTTTTCCAAACAAATTATCAGCTTGTACAAATTTTTATTAATCGACTTGAAAACTAAGTAATGAGATTTTACCGATATCATAGTCGCTTCATTATGTAGGGATTTATTTAAGGGACCTTTTTTTGCGCATTTTCTCCTTCCTGAAAAATATTTAGAAAGTCAGAGATTTTAAAATTAAAAACTTGGAGCAACACATCCATCAAACAGAAGAACCAATAGAAATTATTTAACTCCTAAGCTATTTTATTGAAAGTTTCAAATATAACACCTTAAATAGTTTTTCTTTCAAAATAACAAAAAAAAAAATTGAATTTTTGTTTTATTTCAGATGCTAGGTATTGTAATTTCTTCATATGAACGTATTGGAACTGATTTATATCAGATTTACTTTGAAAATTTATGACAAATTAGTCAATTGATGGCTCTTTTTAGGCTTTGTTAAAAACAATTTAATAAAAAAATATTTTTTTTTTATTCATTAATAATGATAATAATTATTATTATTATTGTAGTTTATATTTTAGAAATTACTTTAAAAATATTCCTACCCCTGATTAACGTTTTTATTTACCATTGTTTTCGTGCTTTTAAGCAGCTACAGAATAATACGTTTATTAACTATAACATTAATTTTATAAATAAAGAATATTCTTAAGTATTTAATGCTCCGAGCATTATTAAACACGATATCTTTTTCGACATGTTCTTCAAGAAAAAAATCTCTCTATAATCTCTAGAAATAAAAAATGTATTGCCTTAAATTTTAAAGTATATTTTGTACTTTATTGTGTAAATTTGTATTCTTATTTAAGAAATTGATAAAAGCAAAACTGTTGTTGTGGTGAACTAATCTCAAGAATATTCTTTTAACCTTTTATTTGACACATTTTTATAACACTAATTAACATATTTCGTTCTAAAATCTTATTTAAATTTTTTCTTCTATTAAGTTCATAAGTTTATTAAAACTTTAATATCATCACTATGCAGTTATGTAACAAGTAAATAACTATAAACTTAAATTATTTCGTTTAAGGGTAATAGTGTGTATCGTCACGTTTTTAATATGGAATTATACATAGAAAAAAAAGAAGGGTAATATTGAGGGTGATTTATCCCCTTGGGTCTAATGTTAAAGTGAGTATGATAACAATAATGATGTTGCATCAGACGAAATTCAATTTGAGTAATATTATTCTGTGTTATCATTAACAGCCTAAGTAATACCATTTAAATCCTTTTACTTTGTTTAACATGATTAAAAATTCTATATTTAACTAATATTCTTGTGCAAGATTTTATATATTATGTATGTAAAGTTCATAAATAAATATATAATTAATTGTAATATTTTTCAATTTTATAGTGGGTAATTAACAATAAAAGGTATTTTGTTGTATATATATATTTTAATGTTCATTACATTAAAAGTGACTAACATTATCTCGTAACTTAATATTAAGCAGTAATATTTATTTTATTAAAAATATTATGTAATTGCTTTAAAACATTAAAGCTTGTTATTGGAATAATTTAAGCATGTTTTGTTTGCGTTATCGAATTCAATATGAACTTAGTTTCTACACTTTTAAAGTTTCAATTAATAGGAAACATGAAGTTATCGCATTAGTCAATAAAGTTTTTGACTTTTGATAAATGTTTAGTGTACTGACATATTTCTCTTTTATTTTGTATTTATTTATACTTATAATTACTGATAAAAATTTAAATGCTTTATACTAAATTATTGTCGAAAAGAACTAGTATTTATATTAATAATCACTATAATACAAAATATTTTGCATATATGACACGATCAATATAAAAATTATGTTATTTGACTTTTGTAATCTGTTTCTGGCTTTTAAAATGTATATTTAAAGTAGTGGAGTTGGTTTGCCAATTATTATATAATAATTAAATTTATTTAATAAATATGCTGAGTTATATACTACAAATGTCATGCTACAAAATAAGTATAATTAGACTGTAGACTATTGATAGCAAACATGTTTTTTTTAAATGTTCAATAGTACAGTATAGAAATTTTAATATTTACATTTTTATTCATTTAACGTTAGTAAAAAGATATACAGTTAATTATTAAAAAATTATATTGTTTTAAATTTTAATTGACTCGACTAAACTGATCGAAAATTTTTGATTTACATAGGAAATTAAATTGATTGATATGTTATTAAAATGTGTCATTTAACTTTTATTATAAACTTTTAAGTATTTATATAGTGAACTAAACAGAAAATTAATATGTTTAATACATCCATTTATGCTTTATATTTTTAATTAAAGATTTAATATCCATTCCAAAGTATCAAAAAATATGAAAAATTAAGTGTAGGATGTGATTTGAGAAACGAAAAATAAATCCTGTAGAAATTGTACTGTTATCCATTAATGGTTGGGTAACCAAGACTCCCTTGGGTTTGTGTTGATTAGTGTTGATATAATGTATTGGATTTTAACAACAACAGTAAATAACTTTGGGGTCGTTAACTGCGATGACACGAGCTTCTGCTTTATCGCTAGTCCGATACCATTAAAATATATGTTTTACGAAGGGTACTTCATAATATAATAGAGCAAACTTTAGTTTAGCCAGAAAACTGGCGAAGAAAAAAAGCAAGCGATTATGAGAAACGACTTTTATATATTTACTTCTATGCACTACTTTCAACCCAATATTACTTGTCATTGTTGTGATGAGCAACAATGTATTTTAATGTGCAGGGAGTTTGAGGGAACGAGTAACGATTTCCAGTAAATATATTATTGGTGATTATTGTTGAGGCAGATTGTTTATCCAGCGAAAAATAAATTGAGTTATATTAGAGTTAGTTTTTGTCTAATTTTATTTAACGTCGGAGATTTTCGTGTTAATAAAAGAGAAGAAGAGAAGACCTCAAACTTACAACTGCTCTTCAAACGAATGTAAATTAAGCACTCCAATTTCAAATTTTCTATTAGAATTTCTAAATTTAAAGAAAGTTTAATTTATGTAAAATTTATTGTAAAAATACAACGATTATCATCTTTGTATTTTTTTAATTAAAATGTTTTCATTATATACAAATAAAAACTAGTTCCTTAGTTTTAGTTTCAAGTATTTAATGATTTAATTTTTAACCTTTACGAGAATTTAAAAACTTAAAACCACGAATTCCTTAAACTATTTTCCCCACGTTTCCGTCGTATTTATTATTGTTATGCATAAATATTTGGTTTTTTTCTTTCTTAACTAACCTTTTATATCAATAGATTTTATTTCTCTTTTGAACAACTATAAAAAAAAAAAAAAAGTACATATTACTATAAACTTGTTAATTTTTTAGTCTATAATTTGTTTAGTTTTTTTAAATCTCATTACTCATTTGGAATTAGTTCTATGGCTAGTTAGTTAATATTTATCAAATAAATTATAGTAGGTTTTACTGCACTTGAAATTATTTTCTCCCTTTTTAAGTATAGCTAAACAAATAATAATAATTTAATTGATTTAATACGCATGTATACATATTAAATTTATTACGAATGAAAATATATGTTATAACTATGTATAGGGTTTTTTATTTTATGCATTGTACTTAATATTAATATAGTGAGTAATACAATGAATATTGTATATGAAACTCAAGGTACTCATT